CAAAGGACAGGTCTACCAACCAGAGGATTGGCAAAGAAGCTACCGAATTAAGTGAGGCCATACTTCAAGCAGAATTAACTGACATCTACCGAGTATTTCACCCTAAAACAACACAGTACACATTCTTCTCAGCAGCTCATGGAACTTTCTCCAAAATAGACCATATCATAGTTCATGCAAGGAACTTAAGCAAATACAAAGGGATCGACATAATCCCCTGTATCCTATCTGACCACAGTGGAATCAAGCTAGCTCTCAATAACAAAGCATACCGCAGAAATTTCTCTAATACATGGAAATTGAACAGCACACTCCTTAACAACGCCTGGGTAACAGAAGAGATCAGAGAAGAAATAAAGCATTTCCTACAACTCAATGAAAATGAAAACACCTCACAAAGAAACTTGTGGGACACAGCAAAAGCAGTCCTGAGGGGCAAATTTATTGCCCTCAGTGCCCACATCAAGAGAATGGAGACAGACCAAGTAAATAATCTCATGTTGCAACTAAAACAGCTAGAAAAACAAGAAAAAATGGGACCTAAAGCTACTAGACGAAGCCAGATAACCAAATTGAGAGCAGAGATTAACCAATTAGAAAATCAGAAAACCATAACCAAAATAAACCAAACAAAAAGCTGGTTCTTTGAAAAAATAAACAAAATTGATGGCCCGTTGGCAAGATTAATTAAAAAAAGAAGAGAGGAAACCCATATTAATAGGATTAGGGATGCTACGGGAAACATCACAACACGTACCCAAGATATCCAAACAATTCTAACAGACTACTTTCAAAAGCTATACTCTCTAAAGGAAGAAAATCTGGCGGAAATGGATGCATTTTTAGAGAAATACAAGTTACTCAAACTGAGCAAAGAAGAAGTTAACCAATTAAATAAGCCAATATCCTATAATGAGATACAGGAAGCTATCAAAAGTCTTCCAACAAAAAAAAGCCCAGGACCAGATGGATTCACAGCAGAATTCTATAAGACCTTTAAAGAAGAACTAATACCCATACTCCTCAAGCTCTTCAGAGAAACAGAGAAGGTGGGAGCTATCCCAAACTCATTCTACGAAGCCAATATCACACTCATCCCCAAACCAGGCAAAGACCCAACCAAAAAGGAGAATTACAGGCCAATCTCCTTGATGAACACAGATGCAAAGATCCTTAACAAGATTCTAGCTAACAGAATCCAGAAACACATAAAAAAAATAATACACTATGATCAGGTAGGCTTCATCCCAGAGACACAGGGATGGTTTAACATACGTAAGTCAATAAATGTAATCCAGCATATCAACAGAGCCAAGGTCAAGAATCACATGATTATCGCCACAGATGCAGAAAAGGCCTTTGATAAAATTCAACATTCATTCATGCTAAAAGCTCTGGAGAAAATAGGAATAGAAGGAACAGTTCTAAAAACAATAAAAGCCATTTATGACAGACCAATAGCCAATATTATACTTAATGGGGAAAAGCTACAACCAATCCTCCTAAAAACAGGAACAAGGCAAGGATGTCCACTGTCTCCACTCCTCTTCAACATAGTCCTAGAACCCTTAGCCAGGGCAATAAGGCAAGAAAAAGACATTAAAGGGATCCGCGTAGGGAAAGAAGAAGTGAAACTATCCCTTTTTGCAGACGACATGATATTATACCTCCACGATCCCAAAAACTCCATCCCCAAACTTTTAGAAAACATAAGTCACTTCGGCAAAATAGCAGGATACAAAATAAACCCACAAAAATCAGTTGCCTTCCTATACACTGATAATGCACAGGAAGAGAGGGAAATAAAGGGAGCAACCCCATTCACAATAACCTCCCAAAAAATAAAATATTTAGGAATTAACCTAACCAAAGATGTAAAAGAACTATTTAATGAGAACTATAAAAAGTTAAAGAAAGAAATTGCAGAAGACACTAGGAAATGGAAAGACCTCCCATGCTCCTGGATAGGCCGACTTAATATAGTAAAGATGGTGATACTTCCAAAACTAATATACAAATTCAATGCAATTCCTATTAAAATCCCAATGACGTACATCACTGAAATACAGAAAACAGTCCAAAAATTTATATGGAACAACAAAAGACCTAGAATAGCCAAAACAATTCTAGGGGATAAAGACAATATGGGAGGGCTATCCATGCCGAACTTCAAACTCTACTACAGAGCTATAATCACAAAGACAGCATGGTACTGGCACAAAAACAGACCCGAAGACCAATGGAACAGAATAGAAGATCCAGATATAAATCCACAGGCCTACAGCCAGCTGATATTCGACAAAGGAGCCAAAGACATACAATGGAAGAAACACAGCCTCTTCAACCGCTGGTGCTGGGAAAACTGGGCAGCCACATGCAGAAAACTAAAAGTGGACCCCAGCCTATCACCATGCACCAACATCAACTCAAAATGGATTAAAGACCTTAACATTAAACCTGAATCTCTGAAACTACTACAGGACAGAGTAGGAGAGACACTTGAACTAATAGGCACAGGAAGGAACTTCCTGAACAGAGTCCCAGGGTCACAACAAGTTGGAGAGAGACTCGACAAATGGGACTACCTTAAAATAAAAAGCTTCTGCACAGCTAAATCTATCGCAACTAAGCTAGAAAGACAACCAACTAATTGGGAAAAAATATTTACCAGCAATATATCAGACAAGGGGTTAACATCCTGTATATATAGGGAACTCAAGAAACTAATCCCTCCCAAACCTAACAAACCAATTACTAAATGGGCAAGGGAACTAAAGAGGGACTTCTCAAATGAAGAAATAAAAATGGCAAAGAAACACATGAGGAAATGTTCATCATCCCTGGTGGCGAAGGAAATGCAAATAAAGACAACCCTGAGATGCCACCTTACCCCAGTCAGAATGTCCCACATCCACAAATCAGCCAACGACAAATGCTGGAGGGGATGTGGAGAAAGAGGAACCCTGTTACACTGCTGGTGGGAATGTACACTTATACAACCACTTTGGAAAGCAGTCTGGAGGGTCCTTAGAAAGCTAAAGATTGACCTCCCTTACGACCCAGTCATACCACTTCTAGGCATCTACCCTGAACAACAGGAACCAATATACAAGGACACGTGCACCTCCATGTTTATTGCAGCACTGTTCGCAATAGCCAGGATATGGAAACAACCTAGATGCCCCACCACAGATGAATGGATCCAAAAACTGTGGTATCTATACATAATGGAATATTATGCAGCCATTAGAAATGACAAAATAATGGCATTTGCAGGGAAATGGATGGAGCTAGAAGGAATCATGTTGAGCGAGGTAAGCCAAGAACGAAGAGACAAACGGTACATGGTCTCCCTGATAAGTGGATGCTAAATCCAAAAGGTTAGGTGATACGATAAAACTAACAGGACTTAAGAAACAAAGAACTCCCGCTCATCTGGTTGAACCACTACTAAATATCCCCATGCTGCTGATCACAAATATGGTATATAACATGTGAACACTGTTATATATTACAGACTGTGGTAGACAATTTGCTCCAGGGAAGTTAGAATGAACTTGTGACTTTGAAATTATGTAATCATTTAATCACAATCAAAAAAAAAAAAAAAAAAGAACCTCGGGGAAGGGAGGGAGGGAGGGGATGGTAGGGGGAAAACAATGGAGGGGGTAACAATGTTCAAGAGGAAGTGTACTCATAACCTCACTCATGTAACTGTAACCCTCTGTATAGTAGCTTTACAATAAAAAAAATATCAAAAAAAAAAAAAAAAAAGAGTCTCACTGACTTTCCTGCCCGTGGTTTACTGCAAACCCGGATCTTCAGATCTCACCCTCCCAGTAGCTAGGATTACAGGTGTGAGCCACTATGCTATTTTTCTTTTCTTTTCTTTTTTTGCCAGTCCTGGGGCTTGAATTCAAGTCCTGGGCTCTGTCCCTGAGCTTCTTTTGCCCAACGCTAGTGCTCTACCACTTGAACCACAGCACCACTTTCAACTTTTTCTGTTTATGTGGTACTGAGGAATTGAACCTAGGGTTTCATGCATGCTAGGCAAGCACTCTACCACTAAGCCACATTCCCAGCCCACTAATCAACTTTAATAACACACAATTTAAGGCCATACATATGCTTTCCTTTAGTTTACTATTTGGATTGACATGGCTAATCAATGCATATTTGTATTGTTAGATTTACTAGCCTACCTCATCCAGACACTTTGGTGCCCTATTTATTCTTTTTCCCGTCAACCATTAAACAGAAGGAATTAAGTGAAATTAGAAGAGTCTTGGCAGGAACCGTGTATGACACTAAAATCTTTTATAGTTTTTTCTTTGCAAGTGACTGGGCTTTTGTTTTACAGCTCTTATCTTTGCTAGAAAAAGGCCTACAGAAATCACTTCATATAAACTACCAATCTAAACTCTTTGGTTCACTTTAGGTACATTTTAATAAACATTACACAGAGATATAAACAGATTGCTTAGAAATCCTGACCAGTTAAAATAAAATATAAAAGTGTCCCTCCTACAATTGCACATTCTAAATTATTTAACTTAAAAAAACCTCTGTCTTGTGTCAATTTCCAATTTTGTGTGTCTAGAAGTATTTCCTCAAGATTCAGAAATAAATTTTCAACATAATGAGGACAGATAAGCCAGTTTTCTTCTTTAGAAGAAGGGCTGAGGGACCGAAGTGTGTCCTAGTGGAGAAGTAGTGACGTGAGTGAAGTAAACAGGAGTATACAATACACAGTTTATCCTGACAGAATGCACAACATCTGACAGTTGAAGGTACTTATAACTTTGAAGTTTCTTTTTTTTAACTTTATTATGATACTTTAGGTTTATTTTTCCTTTGTGGTGATTCTCCATGTGAATTATCAAGTTTTTAAAAATGCAATTTCATAAAACTTATAATTTTCTAACTCTATCAATTTCCACATGATCAAGGTAACTGTGTTTATAGTTTATAAACAAGTACATGGAAACATCTGTACTTACTGGAAAGAACTGTTGTAAGGAAAATGTAGTCTGAAAAGGATATGAGCCCACACTCTCCAAGGGTGTAAAATATACTGTCTTCATCAGCAAACTTTTCTCGTTCCTGGGAAATTTTCTATTAAATATATAGGTCCCACCAATAGAAAAAAAAGATATTACTGAATTAGAATACAAATAGTAAGAAATGAATTACCAATGATCTAATTTTATGAGATTTACCCTAAGCATTTCTCTGATGGCCACTCAAAATTAATGGATCCTTTACAATTTTTAGACCATGAAAATTCCAAACTAAAACTTTTTTTCCATATAAACATTAGGTTAATAGGAATTTTAGAAAGTAATTTGAATTTTATAACTTCCTGACACTGAACAGATAGACTTCTTTTAGACTTGGTCTACCTTTTTCTGAAGTTACACGGTATTAAAAAGAAAAACTAAAAAGAAAGTAGTTCTAACTGCCCAAGAAAAATTATATTGCTAGTGATCACAAATGAAGAGGTAAGCAACTATTTCCAAGGTGCACAAAAATGCTCAATTTCTGGCATACTAATTCAAATTCAAATTTATGAAATACTAATTTTAATATTTATTTTATGATTCTAAGAATCCCAGTTTTGGAATATAGAACAGTATGCAGAGTTAACAGCATCTCTGAGAGATAATGCCAAATCAGACATGAACACATGTGAGCACCAGGTTTAGACACAATTTGATCATATTTACTTTTACCTTAGTGAATCTATTTGATACTCTCATCTAAAATTTGGCTTTTACTATAAACATATATTCCACTTATTTAACTTATAAATTATGAAATGAGCTTCAGTAATAGCTAGTCTAGCAAATTGTTTTTTCTTGTTTTGTTTAACCAAATCTATCCTTTTTCTGATTTCCTAACCAAAGCATAAGCTTAGTGATAACATATGGTCAAAAACTGAAAAGGATCCACCAAAGGTGCATTTGGGATAAATTTCTCTATATTCTGAACCAACCAAAGGCGTTTTCTGGAATTCTGAGTACCAAAATGTGAAAAAAGAATAAAAGGCCTTTAAAAACTCAAACCAACAAAATGCAATCAAAGTAATAATCTCATGCAAGCACAAAATAAGAGGCAGCAGCACAGGCATAACTTGAGGAGGAGTATCATGAAAATGGAACCCACAAGCACCACCACACCAGCATTCAGGTACACAACTATCCAACAGGTTACCTCTGTCTAGTGGAGATCCCATCATATACCACAAAGGAAAGAACACTAGTTAACCAATTGAAAACACAAGTGCCACATGAATCTTCATTAAGTTAGTTTGCATGATCTTCTTTTAACAAACTCATTCAAAATAACTTTTATTGTATACTGGCTTGCTCATAAGTAACCATGAACAGGTAAAGATCCACAAGTGAATACCAACAAAAATATATTAGATTTTGATAGGCAGATGTGATTTAAGAAAGGGATTCTTTGAGTTTGATAGTGATTGACTGAAAATATGGTGCTGTGTAACATTTAGAGATTATTCTTTTGATCTGAGAATAAAGAATGAGCACCCAGACCAAAAATGCTCTAATTAAGGTTAAATTTTATACCACACTTTCCTACCAAGAGATTAAGTATAAAATTTCAGACCAAAGAAGCCATTGGAAGAAAACTAGGGCAGTAAAGCCACCCACTGGAAAGTTTATATCTAAATTCCTCAAAATAAAAGAAACAGTAATAGTTTTTACATTATCCAAAGTGCTGCAAAATTAAACATGAAAACAAGAAAAAAAGATGGGAAGTGAGAGTAGGTCCCCAAAGACCTACCATTCCTAGCTAAAGCAATAAATGTATATAGAAGGTGTGAGACTGCTATACATAACTGAAATAAATAATATATTGAGAGCCAGAAGTGGAGAAAGGGAAAAAAGCCATCCGACAGAGTGTAACAAGGCAGCTGAGCAAAGGATAACTAACCTAGCATGAATTTTTCTAACAACAACTGGATACAGAGCTGCCCAGAAGATAACCAAAAAAAAATCTAATTTAGTTGCTAATTTTAAATTCTGATATAATTACAAATAACATAGAAAAGATTAAAGAGTAATGTAAGGAACTAGCATATAGGTTTTATCCAGATTCACTAACAAACCACCTGATTTGCTTTATCATTTTGTTCAGATGCATTTTTTCTTTATAACAGTTTGAAAGTAACTTGGATATGTCATGATTTTTACACTTAAATACTTCAGCCTATGTTCCCTGTGAACAAAGACACTGTCTTAAACGCCACAGTATAACTCTACTAAAACTAGAAAATTTAATAGCCATACATTATTATCTAGTCTATTATCACAGTCAACTGCTCCAATAATTTCTTTTATAGCTACCCCACCCAAGTTCAGAATGTATTTTAAAAAGTATGGTTAGTTGTCATGTCTCTAGATTCCATTAATCTGGGACAGCTTTTCCTTGCTCTTCAGTTTTTCCTTTCGACTGGTAACATTTGTTTGTTTTTGTCTGTCTTACTGGGCCTGGGCTCTGTTGAGTTTCTTGAGCACTCTACCACTTGAGTCAGATGCCACCTCTGGCTTTTTTGAGTAGTTTATTGGAGATAAAAGTCTCACTTTTTATCCCAGGCTGGCTTTGAATCACGATCCTCAGGTCTCAGCCTCTTAAGTAGCGGGGATTACAGGTGTGAGCCATCAGTGCCTGGCTACGGTAACATCTTGTTGCTAATATTCAAATAATGATTCACCATTTTGCCTATTGAATACTTTGTGTCTGGCTTCTATTACTTAATGTTTCCTAGGTTCATGTTGTAGCATGAGTCAATACTTAATTTCTATTTCCAAATAACATTCTATTGTGTTTGTTCACTCATTTATATGTTGAAGGACATTCAGATGATTTCTGCTTTTTTGGCTACCGTGTATAATACTAGTAAACACATTCATGTACAAATAACTTTGAATGTGTTTTCAATTATTTTCAGAATGAAAGAGTGGAATTGCTCCATTATATGTTAGCTCTATATTTAAGTTTGGAATAAGATCCAAACTTTTTTCTATAGTGGCTTCATCATTTACATTCCTACTAGCAAAGGAAGAAGGCACCAACTCAGCCACATCCTCATAAATACCTGCTTTTTTTTCTTTTACAATATAGCTATTATGGGTATGAAGCGTATCTCATTACATTTTTGATTTGCATTTCCTTCCTGCCTAAAAATATTGAACATCATGTGCTTATTGGCTATCTGAAGTGTGTATTTAAGTCTTTTGCTCAGCTTTGCATTGGCTGTCACTTTGCTGAGTTGTAACTTGTTGACATACTCTGGATACTAGACCTTTACTCTCTATATGACCTTTAAATATTTTCTTTCTTTCTTTATGTTGGCTTTCCACTTTCTCGATAATGTCTCATGATTCACAAAAGCTTTTAATATTGGTACAGTAAAAGTTATCTACTTTTCTTTTATTGTTTCTGATTTTCATTTTGTATCTAATGTTCTCCAAGGTCACAGCTACCCTTATCTTCTGTAAGTTCTACAATGTTAGCTCCTAAGTTTCTGATTCATTGTGAGTTAATTTTTATATATGTGATGTAGAAGGCTCAACTCCATTCTTCTGGATGTAGATACCCAAGTAATCCCACATCATTTGTTGAAGAGACAATGTTTTCACACTGATTAAGCTTGGCTCACTTGTTGAAAATCTGTTTATTATAAATGTGTGGTTTATTTATGGGCTCTCAATCGTATTTTACTATTTATTTACCTATCTTATTCCAGTACATTGTTAGTGTTTTTTTGTTTTAAGAAATAAGGATAAAATGAGTAGGACATAAAATTTACCAATGTAACTATTTAAAGTATAGATATCTTAGGTTCTGTTCGTTTTTCTTCATTTTTTTTTCTTTTTTTTTGGTCGGTCATGGGGCTAGAACTCTGGGCCTGGGCGCTATCCCTGAGCTCTTCAGCTCAAGGCAAGTACTTTACCTCCTCATTCTTTTTTGATGTCTGCTTTGGATTGAATAATGTCAACTAAACTATTTTCATGTTCACCAATACTTTCTACTACTTACCTAAATCTGCTGGTTGAACATCTCTAGTGATTTTATACCTCAGTTATAATCTTCTTTATTGATTTTTCTGTTAGCTCATACATGATTCTCCTCGTTGTGTTTAGCTGTTTGGCTGAGAAAGGGTTGATTTAAAGTATCTGAGTGTTACATAAGATGTCTGTGCTCTTTTAAGGATACTGAGCCATGCTTTTTATTTCTATACATGCATCATTTCTTCTTCAAAAATAGGTATTGTATATTATGATGTAGTAGATGGAAATCAGATGTGTTGCTGCTTAATATAAGCTGGGGTTGTTTTAAGTCTTTCATGAGATTGTAGAGAATGCAAAAAGCTGATTGACAGTTTGTGCCACCATAATCATTAGTCTAGGGAAAATGTAGTTTCAAAGTTTCCTACTCTAACATTTTTGATCTGTGTTTTTTGGCCATGACAATTTGAAAATGTACATTGTATTTAGACTATCCCTCATTTTGAGTTAGACTCATGTTTCCTAATGACTAGATCCACATATATCTATTTATATTCTACATTAAAATTTAGTATTTTTATTTTTTAAAAATTTAGTCTTATTCTTTATTCACCGTACTACTTTCTCCAGCAACAGGTTAGTTGATTCCCATTGTCTTCGAAATATTTACTTAAATGGTCAATCTTAGACTATATAAAAAAGTGATCTCATAATCATCCCTGCAGAAAACAAACATATCTGGAGTTCAAGATCTGTTACCATTATGAGTTAAATTTACATGTAGCATGATGTCCAAGTCAAGGTGCAATGCCATAAATTCTGAAATGTATATAACTTAGTGATCTACATCCATCAATCCTAATAGTTCCTTTATGACCACCTTCCTTTAAAAAAAATATGAACTAGTAGTTCAGAAGTGCAGGTAAATTGAGTCACCATTATGCACTTCAGCATAATTCAGTATTTAATAATCAGTAGACTAATTTTTATTGCTTAGTACTTTATGACACTGCTCAGTATAAAGTGAAAAATAAATGCACTAAGTATTGCTATATTTTATTTTGTATAAAACACTATGTA